GGACTACGATTGCCACGCAGCTACCTTGCTATCTCCGGTGAAAATTCACGATTGGAATAGTCCACAGCCGCTACCGTGGACTGAGATACCTGTATCTGCAAACAAGGTGCAGGGGTTAACATGAGTACACCAACTCAGTAAGTAACAAGTTCAAACTATGGATTGATAGGTAGTGACTAACTAAACCTCAACAATTATAATAAAGTTAAGCTGTACAGTAATGTAGGCATGCTGGAAATTCAATTATTCAACTCAAAAGTAACAAATACCAATCCGAACAATGTGAAGTATAAAGCTCACCAAATCTCTACATGTCAATGCCAAAAATGCATGAAAATGCACCGTGTGATCCCACTCTCAAGTGCTCAACCACTCGGTACCGCATATGGCCATCCCGCCCAGGGAAATCTATCCCGTAACATATAACACTGACTGCAAGTCAACCGGTACCGAGGAACAAGGGTAATCCAAACCTGAGGAGAAATCCATCTCCAGGTATGAATACTTCAGACAAATCCGTATCTAGGGAAATCCATCCCTCAAATATCATTTGCGCTCACTAGGGGTGTGTTACAGACTCCGGAGGGGCTCCTACAGCCCAATCGCTATCATAATCATCAATATATCCGCTGCGGCGTGTAGCGCAATCCCATCACTGTCGCTCATAATCATGCTCTCGGCCTCACTCAGTCATCAATCTCCAGTCTCACACACACGGGCTCACAATGCCATGCAACTAGCCCGGAACAATGATATGATGTGCCAAATAACAACCACTGAGACTGAGACATGATATGATATGCATGAACAATACTGAGTACTGAATATCAATGAAACTAATGAGATGACAGCAACAAACGACTACTCGGGTCTCAACAGTATTGGCGTGAAGCCCTAACATGATAATTAGCTTGATTTACAATTCATTTCCTTAATCATATAATCACAACACAGATATCAACAAGAAAGAGTGAAATAAGTGGTGCCATGGAATGAACCAAGCCATAATTCTCACGGTGCACGCCCACATGCCGTCACTTGGCATTTGAGTCATCTCAATATAAATCACATAACACGTAGTTCGGGGTTACAAACCCTCAGAACCAAGTTTGAAAGTGTTACTTACCTCAAACCAAGCCAAATCCTACTCTACTACGCCTTTGCCTCTAGAATCGGCCTCCAAACGTCCCGAATATAACCAAAAACAATAAAATGCAATTGTAGGCCAAGGAATCAATTCCAAACGAAAATCTATCAATTCAATCCAAAATCCCGAAATTCACCCAAACCCGACCCCCCGGCCCACGTCTCGAAATCCGACAAAAATTACAAAACTAGAAACTCCTTCCACTCACGAATCCATACATACAAGATTTATCAAAATCCGACTCCATTTGACCCCTCAAATCCTCAATCAAAACTCTCCAAAACTCAAGCCCTAGCCCCTTCAACTTCACCCCAAATTCCCACTAATTCCATGATTAAACAGTAGGAAAATCATCACAAACACAAATAATAAAGTCCAAGTAGCTTACCTCACCGATACCCCTTGATTTCCTCTTGAAAATCACTGCCCAAAGCTCAAAACCTTGCCAACAATGGTGAAGAATGGGCAAAATTACGCGAAGGGTCTAATTTATACTTTTGCCCAGGCATTTCCGCACCTGCGGCAAAATTCACGTACATGCAGGACCGCACCTCCGGTCCAAACGCCGCATCTGCGCATTTCACTTAAATCCCCAGCTTCCGCACCTGCGCTCCAAGCCTCACACCTGCGGGCTCGCAGATGCGGTCCAACTTCCGCTCCTACGGTCCTTCTCTTCTTCTGCGGTCCATTTCTGCTTATGCAGACCTTGCACCTGCGGACCTGCGGTCCCCAATCCGTAGGTGCGGAAATAACAGAAGCAGCAGCTTCAGCTACTCAAACCAATTTCCAACTCTTCCGCTAACCATCCGAATTCATCCCGAGTCCCTTGGGACCTCAACCAAACATACCAAAAAGTCATATGCCACCATTCAAACTTATTCAAACCTTCGGAACACTCGAAACAACATCAAAACACTAAATCACCCTCGAATTCAAGCCTAAGAACTTCTAAACTTCGGAATTCTGCAAATGATGCCGAAACCTATCAAACCTCGTCCGGCTGACCTAAAATTTTGCACACACTTCACAAATAACACTAAAGACCTACTCAAATTTCTAGAATTTCATTCCAACCCTGATATCAAATTTCACTGCCTACCGAGAAGCGCCAAATTTCCAATTTCGCCAATTCAAGCATAAATCTACCACGGACCTCCAAATTACATTCCGAACACGCTCCTATGTCCAAAATCACCTAAAGAAGTTATCCAAAGCATACTAATCCCAAGCCGATATTGTTTACTCATAGGTCAACATCCGGTTGACTTTTTCCAACTTGAACTCCTAAATAAGAGACTAAGTGTCTCATCCCTCTCCAAAACTACTCCGAACTCGAACCAACCAACCCGATACCATACAATATAGCTGACAATATTTAAAGAAGCAGAAATGGGGGAAACAGAGCTATAACTCTTGAACGACCGGCTGGTTCGTTGCAAAAGCTACTCTATATTTATAACAAAAAGGACTTAGATTCCTACGAAGTAAAAGCATGCCCGTTGGCGCGTGCCGCAGCCTGCCGAGGGGCGCTGTTGGCATCTGCATGTGGCTGGGCGCTGGCGAGGGATATTGATGAGGTGACATAGGCACAATCTCGCTTGTCACTTGGCGCGACCAAGACCACGGGGCCGTCCATGGCACTAGGCATTGGGAGGCTTGTCTGGACGCCACGGGGCGCGTCCAAGGGGTCATGGGGCATGGCTAGAAAGCCGTCCATGACAGATTACATAACTAAACGTGTAGGATTGACCAAATTGACTCTGATATGATTTTAAACTTCCCAATCTTTTCTATTTAACTTATAAAATGATTCACCCTCTCCAATTTCAGAAGTTGATTTACTACAACGACTCCAAATATATACACATATAGTGAAAGAATATTTAAGGAAAAAAAAATGAAAAAAAGTCTTTGACGCTGAAACAAGAAGAGAATAAGGATAAAGGCATGTATCGCGTCAAAATCACGGTGTAGCTTGATTCAGGTTGCCCCGTTTACCATTTCCCTTACCTATAGAACAAGATTTTTGTGGCTTAATATAAATAATAAAATTGTAACTTTCGAATTTATTAATTCTCTTACTGTGAGCATGTAATTTTTGCCCTATATGAAATACCCCTACAGAATACCAAGGAAATAGATTTTTCTGTTGATTATTTGCCATTTTTAGGAATTTTCTAGAATTTTTCTTAATTATTTGCATTTCTATGCATGTTTAATTTTTTTAAATTATGAAAAATGTACCAAAATATCATGCATTGCATTTAGGATTTGTTTTTATATTTTAAGAATTAATCAGTAATTATTTGCTTTATAAAAATTTAAAAATCACAAAAAATGGCCCATTTTTACATTTTTTGTCTTTTAATTTTTAGTTTATTGATTTTCCTCTTTTAACTTAGAATTAAGTGCTGTTATATTAGCTTAATTTCACACTTTTGGATAATGTAAGATTTTTTTAATTTGTAGGATTTTAATTTAAAGAAAAAAAAATTTGAAATAAAAGAAAGAATCGGAAAAGATGTTTAAAGAAAGAATTGGATAAGATGTTTTTTTTGCGAAATTGGGCCAATTTCTATACATTTAACCCAGCCCAGATCCGATCCCAAACCCTCTTGACCCAAGTCCAACCCATGCAAAACCCGATCAGCCCCATTTCTTTTTTTTTTACCCGAAACGACGTAGTTGCATGGCAAAACTATGCCGTTTCGATGCTTGGGCCTCTTTAAACGACCAAACTTCCCCTCCTTTACTTTCATTAACTAATTAAGTCCCTAAACCAAAACCTAGTTTTCCCTTTCTCTGAAATCACCGCCCGTTTCCACCATAGCTCCGCCGCCCGGAAATCGCCTCACGGCGGCGAAGCACCTCCAAATCCCTCCAAATCTTAACCCTACAACCGTCGTCATCTCCTCATCCTTGTACCACCATTGATTTCCCCAAATGATCACCCAGTCCTTCCGAATTGTAGATCCAAAAATAAAAATCCAAACTTTTTTCTTTTTCCCAAAACTTTTCGGATTAAACCCTCAATCCATGGCAAAACCCTGTAAATTCCCCAGTTTTTTCAACAAGATAACTTTGTTTGAATATCAAGAAGCCCTATCTCGTGGATTTGGTCAAATATCGGGAAAATAGCTTTTGAACGTTTCAATTGCTTCGAGCCTCTGCTTCGCTTCTTTTGGCACACGTTGAGGATTGCTGCATGAATCATTAGCCATGAACGAAAGTTCGGCTAATATTCATGTTGCAATTCTCACGGTTTGGTCGAGATTTTGGTTCGTCGGAGTTCGAATTTGAGTCGTCATTGTTCTCGAAGATTCTAAGGCTTAATTGGTATACTCCTTTTTTCCTTTTTCTATGAGTTCAATTACTGGTCATAATCTCGAATCTCTTCTCCCTTTTCTGTAATTCAGTAGGTTAAATTAGAGTTTTGGGCATCTTTGTTAATTAACCAGTGATTTATCTTTACTTTGTATTTTTTCTTTCAATGTGTTCCAATTCAAAAGCATATTGTCTCAGTCCTCGTGTTTGGATGCCCCTTTTCTTTGATTTTGTGGGTTTGTCTGTTTGATTTAGAATTGGGCTTTGTTAGTACACAACGGGCAGGTCCATTAAATAAGAGTTTGACCAATTGAAGGTCCAAAACTTTTGAGGCTTGGCCGGTGGCCCAAGTCCATTTTTAAAAGAACTGGGGAGGCTAATATAGGGATTTTAACTTAAATTTTTTTAGATAACTACCTAGGAAGGTTCTAGGAAAAAGGGAGAGTGGGGTAATTGATTGAATGGTTTAAATTTTGGGGGTCCAAGTGAATAAAAACAGAATTGAGAGAGGAGGTATTGAATTAAGGAAATCTGATTTGTTCCCCTAAATTCCCCCTATAAAACACCCTCTTTCCAATCATTAGGGCACAGAAAAAAGGGTGAAAAAACACAAACGGCTGAAATCAATCCTTTTCCAAAAACTTCAGAAGAAAATTTTTCTAGTTCTGGCTATTTTTGGAGTCATTTGCTGGGGTTTTCTAAAGTTAAGCAAAACTTTGGTCCTTGGATTCATTGCTGTTCGATTTGAGCTGAGCTGTTGCAGACTTCTTTCTTTCTTTGAGCTGTTTGTCACATTTTCTTTTCTAGGTATTTTTCTGAACCTTGTATGCTCGATTTTAAGTTGTGTTTTGAATAGAAGCTGATTTCCTTGGACTTTAAGTATGAATGAAGTTAGATTCTTTTTTTTTTCTGGTAATTTTCTTTGGATTTTTTTAGCTGATTCAAAGCTCCAAATCTGCTTTGTTTTTGTATTTGAGTCATGGTTAGAGTAATAAAACAATGGAATAGTTTATTAGTGTTCAGTAGTTGTTTTAAAACATGTCATCATGTAGTGATCTTCTAATTGTTTCCTTCTGAAATATGTTTGTTTTGTTTGGTTGTTGGTATTTTTCTTTGGTTTCGAGCCATGGTATAAATCTTGGTCATGAGCAAGCTGTTTTGAGCATGTCAATTTTGTTTTAGTTTTGAAGGATGGAAAGTACTTGTTGGCTAATAACTTGGTTAAGGTTTTGCGGATCTGACTGTTGTTGATTTGAGAGATCTCTTTGTCATATTTAGCTCTTTTCTTTTCAAATTGTAGACCAGCTTTTGTTGTCATTGATTAGATGCTAAGGGTGTGGTGTCCAGGTTAATAAATAACCATTGGAACCAATTGAAGTCCATTTGGTACCAGTTCAAATCCAAAGGTTGGCATCTTGAGTTGGTAATTGAATAGATGGCAGTGTTATTCGCATCATCAGTTAGTTTTAATTTATTAGGGCATGTAAATTTATAATTCCCCTCTGATTCACGCTTCATTAAGTCATGGCAGTGTTTGTATAATTTTAGTTCAAATTGGGATGTAATTCATGTATTATGGAAGTTGGGTAATTTGAGGTTTCGGAACTGTTTCCTTTGAAGAAAAATTTGATAATTTTCCATTGTTTAATTCTCACCATGCAATGCTATAGAATTTTGATTTGTTCTGAACCTTCAGCAACCATCTCACTATTAGTTTGCGTCTGGGCTCATTTGTGGACTTAATGGAGGACGACAACCCATTTCCTTTGCCTAAAAGAGGAGGGAATGCTAAATAGTATACTGGGCCTGCCTTTGGCCCAGTTTCCATCTCGAATATTTCATAGCTTGTTTACATTGCTTATACATTATTCAACGATTTGAGTCCAAACTTCCGATGGAAATCCCTTTAAGCTTAATTAAGTATAATCCTTTTAAAAATGGTTGGAGGTGTGCCATTTTAGCTAAATTTACCCATGGCCCTCTTATTAGTTAATACAAACTTAGAAATAATTAATTCTTCAAATACCCATAATCGGCTTTACGCGCGCGTTTAAAATTATTACAACTACGGGTACGACTCCCGTGGCGTGGTTGTGATGATTAGTTTTACATTAGTTTAAAAATAGGAATACCTTTAGTTTGCCTTTAAAATATATATAATCCTTTCTCTTAAAATAACTTGAGGTGTGCCATGCTTTAAATCTATAACACATGGCCCTCACAAATTTGGATCAAATAATTTCGGGTGTGCCATATACAAATAAAATCCTTTAATTTATGGCTCTCATATACATACAAAAATTAGTTTAGAAATGCCTTGAACCTTCGTAGTTTGCTTTTAGGTGCGTTAATTAAATAATTATCATAGCTACGGGTACGGTTCCCGTGACGTAGTTGTGACGCCTAATTACTAAAATCCGGGGGGTACATTTATGTGACCCGGCCACAATTTAATCTTTTAAAAATTAAACATGTTGTAGATCGTGGGTACGGTTCCCGTGACATGATTCGCAATATGTAACAATAATTAAAATAAAAGCGGTTATGAGGTTAAAATGCACAATAGGTTAAACATGTAATAAATCAGATAATAGGCCAATTATTAATAGTTTAAGCGACCGTGCTAGAACCACGGAACCCGGAAATGCCTAACACCTTCTCCCGGGTTAACAGAATTCCTTATCTAGAATTTCTGATTCGCAGACTTTAAAAATAAAAAATTTCCTTGATTTGGGATTTTAAAATAAATCGGTGACTTGGGACACCAAATAAATTATCCCAAGTGGCGACTCTGAAAAATACATGAAATAATCCCATTTCGAATAATGTCACTTTAATTGGAAAAACTCCCTCATATTACCCCCTCGCGGGTGGTAAAGAAGGAGGTGTGACACTTACGAATAACGGTTTACATAACTAAGATTAGCTAAGTAAATTTTTGAATATTGTTTTACAATCTAAAGATTTTTTCCAAATATGTACTTAACATACACGCAGCACTACGTGCTACTAGTTAAAGAGAGAAATATTGTCACGACCCAAAATCCACTAGTCGTGATGGCACCTAACCCAACCCTCTAGGTAAGCCAACTATACTATCCAATTCCAATAATATTCAATAAGACAATTTAAACAAGAGAATTATCTAAATCTTATATATTTTTCCTAAGGACTGGTAGTACAAATCATGAGCTTCTAAGAATAGAGTTTACAAAGCTGATATGAATTAAATACACCTTTTGTTTGAAAAGTACATAAACAATGTTTTAAAATCTAAGGCTACCATGAACAAGAGACAGCTACAATGGAGACCAAGGTACATCTTTCAATCCAGCTTCCGTCGAACACAGCAACATCGGCATCCGAAATCTGCACGCAATGTGGAGGAAGTGTAATATGAGTACAACCGACCCCATATAATAAATAAGTAACAAACCTAACCTTAGGTTGAAAGTAGTGACGAGCTGGAATATAGGTCGGTCCAACACCAATAACCAACAACAGTTCATAGCAACGTAGAGCATATAAATAAGGAAGTAACTCAGAGATAAAATGCTTGGCTTTCTTTCACAATTTTTCCGAAAATAGTTCCGCTTTTCCAGAATATTAGTGAAAACTCAAATTCTCTACCGACATTGTCGTAAAATATGAGATAGTTTGAAAACTGTAAATCTTTCTAAAAATCCTTTTTAAAATAAATAAGATTTTTCATTTTCTTTCCAGATAGCAAGTGTGAGATACCTCTCTATGACGACATATCAATGTGTGTAAAAAGTCATTAATGACGTAATACCGTACAACATGAGGAAAATGCGTCTCTATGCATGTATGTCATATATGTATGCCAATGCCATGTATCTTAGAGATGAATCATGTACTCACATTCTCAGAGTACTCAATTTCACTGTCTCACACTTTTCACTCATCATGATCAATCACTCGGTACTGTATATAGCCTATACGGCCCAGGAAAATCCATCCCGGAACATCTACATTGCTGACTATAAGTCACCCAGTACCGAGGAAAAAGGGAAGTCCAACCCTGTAGAGATATCTATCTCCAGATATCAAGTACTTCGGACAAATCCATGTCTAGGAAATCCATACCTCAATAATATCATCCGCGCTCACTAGGGGTGTGTAAAGACTCCGGAGGGGCTCCTTCAGCCCCAACGCTATCATAAATTAGTATAACCGCTGCGGCGTGCAGCCCGATCCCAGAACTGTCACTCATAATCAGGCTCTCGACCTCACTCAGTCATCAATCTCTCCAGTCTCACCCACGGGCCCACAATGTCATGAAAGCTAACCCGGAACAATGATATGATGTATCGATAAATAACAACTGAGACTGAGATATGATACGAATGCATGAATATGACTGAGTACGAAATATCAATAAAATCAGTGAGATGACAGCAAGCGACGACCACTATGGGTCCTTACAATATCAACATGAAGCCTAAACATGATATCTAGCATGATTGACAGCTCAGTTACTTTATCACATGGTGAAAACACAGATATCAACAAAGTTGGGCTTCTATACGGTGCCATGGAAATAACGGAGTCACAATTCACAGGGTGCACGCCCACACCCGTCACATAGAATGTGCGTCACCTCAATACCAATCACACAACACGTCATTTGGGGTTTCATACCCTCAACTCTAAGTTTAGAAGTGTTACTTATCTTGAACAAGCCAATTCCAACACTGAGCGGGCCAAGTGATGCTCCAAAAATGCCATCACGCACGTAGTGACCTCCGAACGGCTCACAACTAGTCAAAAGCAACTCAAATACATCAGATAAAGCCCAAGGAGACAATTACAAATGATAAAGATCGAATCCTACATCAAATTCCAAATCCGGCCAAAAATCACACCCGGGCCCACACCTCGGAACCCGGCAAAACTCACAAAATCCGACAACCCATTCAATTACGAGTCCAACCATACTAGCTTCACTCAATTCCGAATCCAAATCTGTAACACTCTTCAAATTTATAAAAGCTTCAAGATACGCCAAATATAGAATTTAATTTTTTTTAATCTTAAATTATACTTCTATTACGGATTTAAACCCATGTGATTGATTTTTGAGTTACTTTTCTATTTATAAATAATTGGATATACAATTAGGGGAATATTAATAATTTTAATATTTTTAATTATTAAAGGTGTGTATCATTATTTGTTAGTTAAGTTAAAAAAAAAAAGGAAAAGGGACTAAAGCCCATAAAGGGCTGTTGAAGAAAAAGGGAAGGCTTAAGGCCTTTAAAGCCTAGCCGGACGTAAAAAGGTCCAAAGAAAGAAGCGACAGAGTTATACGCACACGAAACAGAACACTGTTCTGTTACGCAGACATCAAAATAAAATTCTAGGGTTCTTTACCAATCACTAATTCTTGAACTCAGGTATGTAAATTTCCCTATTGTCAATTATCCTACTGTGGCAATAGGCAAGAATTGAATAGTTAATTCCATTTTTCCTCTATATCAACAGTAAATTCCATGTTTAGGTGTGAAACTTTAAAATTGATTAAAATGCACTGGTTGTTGTAGAATCGATTGTTTGACTGGTGTCAATTGGATTGGGGCCTATGTATTGGCTCGAGAAGTTTTGAGGTGAGTTGATACAACCCTTTACTAAAGTGGTTTAACTCACAAAAGCACGCTACAAGGTGTTCGATGAATTACTTAAAAGAGTTTATATTTACTTAATTGGAGCGAATTAGTACCTATTAACTTTTGGAGCGAGTTAGTACTTAATTGGATCGAGAAGTCATAGATGATTTATTATGATATAAGTGCATAAATTTTCAGATTTTTGTGTTATTCTTATATGCTATTTTCATGTTGAAAATTTATGAAGAAGCAAGAATCTTTAGAAATACATTTAGATGTTTATTTCATTCTTATGCCATGCTTTACATTTAAGGATACCAGCATGAGCATGTACATGATGTTCCAAAAAGAAAAGATTTAGACTTGAAAAGTCAAAGGAAGAAGTTTTAGAAAGAAAAGATTTTTGGGAGTATCCTTTATTCTGAGAAGGGGTCATCGTCCAGGCCGAGGGTCCTGACCAAGGCGTTGACTTCTTGAAACTACTTGTGCCAAAGTAGGGAGCACACGAGCCGAGGGTCTCGTTGCTGAAAATTTACTTAGCCATGCTAAGGTATGATACATAAGCGCTGAGAACTATGAAGCGAGTGGCACCTCGTGGATTGGGCCTATTCGATCAGGTTGGGATCGAACCCGTGCCTTTCACACGGTGACTGAGACAGAATTAAGTCAGCATAGTTGGAACTCCCAAAGTATAAAGTGAAGTATTTTTTTTATTATAAGAAAGAAAAAGAAAAGAACTTCTTTTAGAATATTCATAAACTGATATTATGCAATTATTTTAGAATTGTTCTTATAAGCTTTATGTTTTACATGCATTTAGAATCATTGATCGTAATGTATATGTTATTAAAGTTCCGTCCCCTGTTGTAGAGAATCACTAAGTACAATGGATGGTACTGACGTTATCTTTTGGGAACTTACGTTGGTCTGCGGTACAACGTAGGAACCGGTTTCGCAGGCGAGCAGGCTACGAGTTAGGACTTCCTTCTCTTCCAGTGCAATTGGT